ATTTCAAAATGCTCAAAATCACTTTTTGACTAAATTAGAGCACGTCTTAGGTCATTTTGAGCATTACGGAAGCTAGAAATTACGGTATTTTACATATTTTGGGTTCCTGACATTGTTTTCACAAATTTCAATTCTTTTTGGTCATCTTTTGGCCAATAGCAATACCGTACGTGCGCTTCAAACATAGGTATCTTTGCGCGTATTTTGCCGCTATACAGTGAAATTAAGCTAAAATCAGACCTATTTTTAATCAGTTATAGCTCCTTAGGTTGAAAGGTGACCCCCCAATTTTTATTACATATTCTGAAAGCACATGAGTTGTAGATATGATTTTATAGATCATAATGACTGATCAGATATTGTGACGTCATCATATTGGCGTCTGAATTCAAAGAAAGTGAATTATAGCTATGACGTCATTTTTGAAAATACGCATTTGAGCGTATCTCGGTTATCCTTGATCTATCGTCTTCCAACTTTCAGTATGTTATAGCTGAGACAATTGTCTTTCATATAATTGACTTCTTTTTAAATTTTGATGACGTTATCATGGTCAAAGTAATTGTTTTTTCTGACCCCCACATTTTTCTTTCCTCAAAACGTTGAAGAGCCCATATCATCTTAACCATTCGTCATTTCTTAATCGAATTAAGTGAGCATAATCTTCAGGTCAAGGTTGAATGTCAGGTACCTTAATTTTCAGTTCGCGAGACTTTACGTGCGCGTACGCGTGCGTCAACATTTATATGTGCATAAAACCATGAATGTTTTTAATCAGTTATAGCTCCATAGGATGAAAGGTGACCCCCACTTTTTATTATATATTCTGAAAGCACATGAGTTGTAGATACGATTTTATAGATCATAATGGCTAATCGGACATTGTGACGCCATCATATTGCCATTTGAATTTTTAAAAAAATTGAATTTTTATTTATGACGTTATTACTTTTTATACTCGTTTGAACGTACTCGCTTATCTTTATTGATTGTCTCCCACCTGCGAGTATGTTATAGCTAAATCAATTCTC